TTCACTTCTTTTGGACTGAAGCACTGCAACACCCGCTGACTGCAATGATAGAGCTTGGAATAGCCAGAACAATTTTTAATATAACTCCGTCTGGATTCGTCTGAAAGAAGAAATTCGTATACACCTAGGTTGCTTCGAGGCTAAGTAAAACACAAGCTAATTTTCATTTTTGGGTAAACTAACCCTTTAATATAGTCTATTCTGTGTCTCTTCCTGCTATAGTATTTGTACAATATTGAAGACTTATGAAACTCCATGATTTTTTGTGCTTTTTACTTTATTTTTGATTAATTTCAAACCCACTTGATTTGGCAGCGGAAGCATCCCATTAAATATGACTTTAAACGTATCAGCTGCTGAACACAAAATCGTAACTGGATTGTATCTGTGAAAGGCTCATTTGTCAACACTGCCTTTAATGGCATCCATTATTAATGGCTGATGTGAGGAAAACCTTTTTCCTTAACTGCCCCTCCTCTGCTTTAGTAGCTAATGGTTGACAAACTCCTCTAAGCCTAGAAGGGTCCAGCTCATTCAAAGCCTCTGAGTAATCGATTTTGCTTAAAAGAAACTGCAAAGCTAACAGCACATTAGCAGTAATCAGTGCTGGAGCTATAGCTGATGTTCTGTTTTTCCCCCTTCAAGTCTATTTGGCTAATACTCTGATATTGCATTGTCCTTTCCTTTTTGTTCATTCAAGTATTCTGCATTGGATCTCTGGTCAAATAAGAACCCAAATGGCAGAACCATAGCATGTCTTTGTTTTGAGCATAAAACTCCTCCCCTCATCCCATTTATATGCGTTATATTTCTAAATCCATTCGTTCTTTCTGTCTTGACACAGTGTAGAGCAATGCAGCTCTTACACCCTTCATTATTGTCAGCCAAATGAAGCAGGGCTGTTATTAGTCTCAGCACCCTGTCAGGTCTCTCTAAGCACAGGCCTGTACTTTAAGGCTTAAAGGAGCTTAATAATACAAGTCTTAATGAACACCTTGTAAGAAACTTAAAATAAAATAAGTAAAAGACTTGTTTAGAAATTTGTAATGTTGATTATAATAATACAGTCACTTTATAGATCTAACAACTATCGTAACCACCTAGCAGCTGCTTAGAATACTTAAAACTTTCCAAAATACTGAGAAAGTTGGCAACATGTGGTAACATTTTTTGCTCATGCATCATGCCTCTTTTTGTTTATTCTAGTATTCGTGAACACCAAGCATGTACTTGCCATCATGAGCACTGGGACTTTCCTGGTGGGCCAATCAGTGAAACGAGGGAGACCTCCTCCGATCTGAGAGAAGCCCGATGTGTTGCCGATACCCGTGAGATATTTGGCATGCTAGATATCTGGACCTGTCGGCAACTCACAGTCCTGCAGTGTGAAATGTGTTCTGACTGGAAATGACATCGGCGACGACCTACAACCATTGAGAGAGCAGGATACAAGTCAAGGGAAAGTTGGAAAGTTCAGGGGGTCGAGTCATAGATCTGCAACAAAACACCAGCATGCATGGCTTCTGCAAGCAACCATCCCTACTTCATATTCGCCCTCCTGTCATTCCAAACCTGTGTGACTGACTTTCTTCCCTGGAACATAAAAGAAGGACATTTGTGAGATTTAAAGATTGTAACCAGTTGATCTCCATTGACTTCCATGGTCAACAGGGAACAGAAATTGTTTAGTTACCCACATTCTTCAAAATATATGCATTTAGTCATTCTTTTGTGTTCAACAGGAGAAAGAAATCCAGACAGGTCTGGAATGACAGGAGGGCGAGTACTGAGGGTGAGAGCTTGGAAATGTCCCAAGTATACTGGTAACCAGCATTAACATAGTTTTAACTGTTTAAATATACACATTGCAGTATTTTTCATGCTGTCCATGTCATTTTTTGGCATCTTACAAAATTGGTACAAACTAATTTTTGCATGTTGAATGGAATAGCAGGTGTAACTTGCTGAAAGGCCCCTATTATATGGTACTTCTACAAACTTTACAGACACTGGGAATGGCAGTATATTAAAAGAAGTTTCAATAACTGAATATTATTCAGGGTTTACACTTTTGATTACAGTAATTACAGTGTTTTTTTTCCAAAAAATTTTTTACTCACAAATATTTCTATCCAATAAAATATTGTAGAGCTTGAGAAAACTAGAAAAAATTATATACTTTATAAAATGTACATTTCCACTTTTTAGGATTTTATGATTTCCATGACTTTTCCAGGTCTATAAATCCCTCATTTATCCAGGCATCCCAAGACAGTGAGAACGATTTAATGTAGAGGGAACTAATTAAAGTAAAAATGTGATGTAAGCTTACATATTGAGTTTTAGCTTATTTTAAAGCTTGTTTTGTCTTGTTTTAAATAATTTTAAGCCATCTTGGAAGTGAGCTGAGGCCCCCGGTTGAGAACTGGTGCTTTAGTGACAAGCTGTTGTACCCCTAAAGGTCCTATTTTGGGGCTTTTTTTCTGACAGTATATGTGCTCTTGAACTTCGGTTGACAAAAATATGTATCTTGTGTTTCCATCAGTCAATTTACCAAAACATATTTGGCTCCATTGCAGACTGTACTTAATTTTACAGATCCAAGATATCAGCTAAAATGATTCAGGCATGTTTAATAGTCTCCCAGTGTGGCTTTAGTCTGTTACTGTGCTCAGGCCAACAACTGGGCCCATATGCTCCTCTGATCTGCTGATTGATGGGAATACTGATCCATCCCACAGACTGGCCATGTAGATTCCTTTCAGTTCAGATTTGTATGTGATTCAGAGAGAACCGTTTCAGGATGTTACTTTAAAAATGTGCTTAATGTGTGATTTTGAAGTGACTAATAAGAGTATTATGACTGGCTAATCAGTTAGATTATAATGCTAATAATGCGAATTTGCTAAACAAATCTAAACAGAAGCACAAAGAGGCTGCAATGCTTGAGCTCAGTTGTGTTGCAATGTCTTTTTATGTGTGCAGTGAGGATATTTAAAGACCTCATTGCCACGAGAGGCTGTTGAATAGCTCATTATCATTAGCTTCCTGTTAATAAAGTACAAGAGAGATCTTGGAGCAATTCTCTCTTGGCCTTTTGTGTCTTTCTCTGTATAGTGTCAGGCTCATGAAGGGGAAGAGAGGGCTGTCTTCCTCTCCATGTGTCTGATCTTTCTCTCAATTCCATGTAGATGTGTGTGTGTTTGATGGAGCTCCACATTGGGACCATCTGTTTCTTGCTGCCCACCTTCATGAGTGGAGGAGTGGGCTGAAATCCGGGCATCATTCTTTGCCCACTGCCACTGCAGTTGCGAGTGTATGTGGGTGTGTTTGCATGTGCTCTCAAAATGTTTCCTTTTTGTATTCCTAGAGACACACTGTATATTACTCAGCCTTAATGCAGAGTTGATACATTTATCTAAAAGTAATGATGCACTAAAATTGCACCAGCCCAAATTATTTGGCCAAAAATGCATTTTTTTGGTTTCAGACTAAATAGTTTGGTGGGCCGAAATCACTGAAACAGTGATGTTTAATTAGCGCTTGTCAGATGGCGTGTTTTGACTGTGTCAGTGTATCGAACTGTAATGGGCAACAAACTGTAGCACCTTTGGTAAGAAGAACCAGGTATGCTTGGGCATTTTGTCCTGTGTCTTGTAAGCGATTTGTCTTTGATTGTCTTTGGTTTGTGTTCCGTTCATATTTCAATCAAATTGCACCAGAATTTGTTCGGAAGTGAACCGAAAAGATGGTTCTCCGCTTGTTTGGTGTGCAACAAGGTTCGGATGGCACTGGTCACACTTATTCAAATGAATTACACTAACAACAATTGCACCAGAGTTCGCTTTAATCAAATCAAACCTGTCAAGTATGAACATGTCCAAAGTCTCAGCTTTCAAACTGTCAATTTTATAACAAAATTCAAACAATAAATGTTGTTTTGATGCTCTTTAATGTGGCATAACCGATCGCTGTATCTAACTCAGTTTGAGCAGCAGCATAGATTAAATAAATTATTGATTGATTAATTGATTATTAAATTTAAAAAAAATTCAGCTAAATGAAAACCTTAATTTTGGTTTCTGTAAAAAATGCATTTCAGTGTTTCAGTATCTAAAAGACCATGTTTAGCCTTCCCAGTTATTTTTCTCCATGTAGAACAATATCGAAATACCAAAAAGGATGTATTTGAGTTGGATGTTTTCCATTTTCATGCCGTATTCGAGTTGATCCTGACTCAGTTTTAAAGTTCAAATGTGTGTTTAGCTATTGGTTGGCCGACATGGAATCTGCACCTTCAGAAATCTGCTGAAAGCTCAATAGAAAAGGAACGTCCCAGGTTACCTATGTAACCATGGTTCCCCGACGGGAAAGAGACGCTGCCTCGGAAAACGTTTTTCCGACGCAGCATCTCGTTCCCTCGGGGAACCATGGTTACATACGTAAACTGGGACGTTCCCCTTCGGGACCTCGAGCTGCGTCGGAAAACGCTAGGGGAACGAGATGTCCATGCCGCCAGACTTGCAAATCCCTGCCTAGTGTGGAAGAGCACAGCTATGGCAAGAGAACAGAGGGTCCTGGAGTGGCTCGCAAATCTAGGTCATAGAACCTGACGAATGTGAGGGGCATAGACCATCCCGCAGCATTGCAGATGTCCTGCATAGGAACACCTGCCAGAAAGGCCTTGGAGGCCGCCACACTTCTTGTTGAGTGAGCCTTGACCCCCAATGGTGAGGGGAGATCAGAGGACTCATAGGCAACAGTAATGGCATCAACTATCCACCGGCTGAGGGTCTGCTTGGAAGCAGGATGACCTCTCTTAGGGGGACCATAGCACACAAGCAGTTGGTCCGCCTTTCTCCACAGGGCAGCTCTGTGGACGTATGCATCCAGTGCTCGCACTGGACACATACAATTAAGCCTCTGCAGGTCGGGCTCCCTAAAGGGAGGAGGATAAAAAGCCTGGAGTACGACAGGCCGTGGTGTAGAGGAGGGAACCTTAGGGACATACCCCGCCCGAGGGTACAAAAAAGCTTTGGCCAGACCGGGCGCAAAGTCGAGATAGGAAGGGGCCACAGAAAGGGCCTGCAGATCCCCAACTCTCTTTAGAGAAGATATAGCCAAGAGAAACACAGTCTTTAACGTAAGAAGACGATCTGATATCTCCTCGATAGGCTCAAAGTGAGGCCTACAGAGAGCTTCTAACACTACAGCGAGGTCCCAATGAGGGACACAAGATCGTACCTGAGACCTCAGCCTCATCACAAGGCGCAAAGTCGAGATAGGAAGGGGCCACAGAAAGGGCCTGCAGATCCCCACCTCTCTTTAGAGAAGATATAGCCAAGAGAAACACCACGCCCAGATAAGTGGTCCTCTGTAATGGAGAAAGAACACTTTTCTTGTCGTTTAGTCTTAACCCCAACTCTTTCATATGAGCGAGAAGGACATCTCGATGCCGAACCGCCATCTGCTCTGATTGAGCTAAAATCAACCAATCATCGATGTAATTGAGTATGCAGACGTCCTGGAGTTGCAGAGGAGCCAGAGCAGCATCCACACACTTTGTCTGGTACCCGGCTGGGGCTGCTCCCGCCCAGCAGCCCCCAGAGCTATAGAACGGCGAGGGAGAAACCGCTGGAATACCGCCGCCTGTCTACGAGCCTCCTGGTATCTGTCGACGACAGAATTGACGGCGTTGCCGAACAGACCAGAAGGTGCAAGTGGGGCATCCATGAGGCAGACCCTGTCCTTCTCTTTCATGTCGGACAGGGTCAACCATAAATGCCTCTCCGCCGCCACCAGAGCTGCCATGGACCGCCCAATAGCACAGGCGGTCTCCTTGGTGGCGCGGAGAGCTAAATCAGCGGTTCTCCTCAGTTCTAAGATGTCATCTGCTTTGACTTGCTCGCCTTCATCAAGCTCTTTTAGAACTTAAACTACTTCAGTCTGTGTGCATTGAATTTATTTAATACACGAGTTTCACAATTTGAGTTGAATTACTGAAATAAATGAACTTTTCCACGACATTCTAATTTATTGAGATGCACCTGTATTATCTCCAGTTCTGTTTAACAATTTTTTTTATTATGTTTAAATCCATTTGTGCAAAAAATGTGCAAACCAAACTCCTGGTCTGGATATTCTGCAGTGCAGTATTGTGAGCTACTACATGCTTTATCAGTTCGTTAGTTAGCAGTCACATGGTTACTTCCATTCATTTCTCAAACAGTGTTTCTCTCTTTTCCTCTTCCCCCACCCCTTCTTCTCTCTGTCCAGATTACATGTTTGCAAGAATTTTTCGGGGACGATGACGTATTCATCGCGTGCGGCCCTGAGAAGTACCGTTATGCGCAGGACGATTTTGTGTTGGATCACAGTGGTAAGGCTTCCACAGCCTTTATAACCGGTAGGCTCAGCTAAACACTAACTTCATTTCAAACTAATGTCTCTCATACTAAACTCTAATAATATATTTTTATCCCTTCACTACACATCTAGGAACACACCATGCACTGTAATCAGCATGGATATGGATACCTGACTGTTTAAAATGCAATCAATACAAATTATTAAATATTAAGTTTAATTGGCTTATCCCATTTATAGCCATGGTCTGTTATTGTATTGTCTATATTAATTAGTGATTCATCAGCCAATCATCTGTGTTGGCCAATAAAAGTAATTGTCTTCATAATAAAAAAAATAAGTATTTAACTAATTGTACATGATTGTTTAAAAACAACCAGTGATCAGAGTTGTATGTCCTGAAAAGGGGAGTGTGGAAAAATCCCAATAAAAGAAAATGTCTCCGAAAAATTACAGCAGTTTTCAGCATAACAATAAGCTGTCAATCAATATTTTTTTATATGAAATACAGAGAGAAAGTAAGGATTGTGACAACATTAGGACACTTCTTTTTATAATCACTGATCTAATCTACGAAAGCTGGTTGTCATTAATAGACCTGTAGACTATTTTAAAGGGGTCATGAATTGAGAAATCAACTTTTACTTGAGCTTTTGATATGTAAGAGATCATCGTACTAAAAGAAAATCCTGTAAGTTTCAGAACTGAAAACGTCCTTGTTACTGAAATAAAAGCTTTTATTGACACCAGGCCCAGCGAACGCCAGATCCTGGAATGGGCATACCTATGGCGTAATAGATAGGTTAAACACCGCCTCCACAGAAGAATATCAATGCCTAATTCTGTAGCCCCGCCCTCTGATTCACGCATGACATAGTATAGGGAAATAACATAAGTGGCGCTAAACCAGATCGAGCAACCAAGCAATAAACATGTCGTTAAAGATCGCAAAATATTGTGCAGTGCCTGGTTGTGGAAGAACACAGTCTCTGCATAACCTTCCTTCGGATTCAAATATTAGGAATGCGTGGTTGAACTTTATTTTTAATGAAGTTCCAGCTCACGCGAGTAAAACATTGAGCGTTTGTTCACTTCATTTCACCGTGGATTCCTTTGTGGGTCGATGCTGGATTTGCAGAGAGACTTAAAAAGCAATGCTGTTCCATCTATATTGGATCTGACAGGAATGGCGCAGCACACTTATGTGAGTAAAAAATATTTGTACTATGTGTCACCAATGCTTAGTTAGAGATCGCTTGATATGTCCTGATTATGTGTACGTGTCTAACCAAAGTCACAGAAGACTCCAACTGTGAAGGACGTAGCTTGTCAAACAGGCACACAGAACGGTAGTTAACTATGCAAAACTGTTATCCAATCATAGCAGTGGGCGTTTACTTCCAAGTCTTAAGTGCGGCACACCCATAAAAACCAAGCATTTCTCGAGCCGGCCTCAAAACCAGGGAAGAAAATAGTCTATTACTTATTGATTTTGATGTTTTTGAATGTAAATACATGGACCTGAAATGCAAAAATGTGGTTTTTGAATGTAAAAAAAGTGGACCTCAAGTGGAAAAGCCAGTTCATGACCCCTTAAAGGCCTCTTATGCAGGTCTGCTTTTTGTTTCAGTGTTTTCTTTTTAATAACTGAGACTATTTTGAATTTTACATTTACAGGAGATTTAGATTTGTGTTTATATATTTATTTGCACTACCATTCAAATTTTGGGGTGATTTTTTTTTTTTTTAAAGAAATTAATACTTTTGTTCAGCAAGGATCCATTAAATTGATCTAAAATTAAAGTAAAGACATTTATAATATTACAAAAGATTTCTATTTTAAATAAATGTTGTTCTTATGAACATTCTGTGCATCAAAGAATCCTGAAAATAAATCTATCAGTTTCCAGGAAAAAATAAAAATATTAGCAGCACAACTTTTTTAGCATTGTTTTGATAATAATAAAATTTGTTAAAAGTTTTTGATAAAAGTTTGATAATAATCAATTGTTTTGATAATAATAAAGGTTTCTTGTTCAACAAATGAGCATCAGAGGCTTCTGTCATATATATATATATATATATATATACACACACATTATATATAAATCTTTTACAATTTTTTGTTTTGTTACTTATCTTCAGCTTCAATACAATCTAACTAATACTACTATCTTACTGTCTGTTTTCTCCTTCAGAAAAAGAAGTGAAAGTATTTTAATAGTACATTTTCCACAATGGAGTCATTCATTCACATTCATTCACTAGGTTGCAAAAATTCATTCATTTTCCAGAAAGAACACAACTGTCAGAGGAAGTGACCTTGTTATGAGAAGTTCCTCACATTGTTCAGTGTGTAGTTTACATTTGTCTACTAGTGAACATGGTAAAGCAGGTGGGGAAGTGAAGGCGTTCTGTGGCTGTGAATTTCTAAATAAAAAAGTTTAACTTAGTCTATAATTTTCATCCTCATTTGCTGAAATGCCTCCAGTTCTTGTAGCAGGTACCACACTCACGCCCTTGATAACTTGATTCATAGCTGTGTGAATTTAGTTCATCTGCTTGGCATTTTGTCCTAGTTCTCCTTTGCTGCCCCACTTAGGTTAAGTAGGACTTTTCCAAAAATATAAAGAAACGGTAAGTTTGCGTCTGGCAGTATTTACTGCTCAACCTTTTCTTTCCGCAGCAGAAGTGGAGTGTCCTTAAAATGCAAGCCCCCCACAAATCTTAATCTTCTGTAACTAAAGAGCTCATTACACACTCTCTTTCAGATTCTGCTGTTAAATTCTTAAATTAAGCTCCATGAAACAAATTAGCTGGGCAGTAATGGCATTTTAATAATGGCATTCGGCTTGTTTTATCTTCATCACTTGACGATCTGGTACTCATCAGCTAATTCATCTCTGCTCGGCGTCATTAGCAAGTGGCGTGTAATCGACAGGACAGATCCAGTAGCTTCTACTGTCATTCAGTTATTCCTTACTGAAGTTCTGCACCCACTGCTCTCATTAGAAAGATGGTCTGCTCTCATAGGCCTTGAGTAGACAATTTGATTACGCCTCTGCAGAAAGCTTCACAGTCTTGGCACATGTGAATTTGGAAATTGTCTGCAGATACCATTCATTTACTAACATGCAACTATATTAGCCCTGATGCAAGCATGTTTTGATGTGTGTATACATGTACTGTTCGTGTCTGTGTGTTTGTTTCCAAAAAGGTAAATAAAGATGGTGGCTCATGCTTAAATGATCAGATTTATACATTTACATTCAGAAGTTTGGGGTCAGTTTTTTTTTTTTTTTGAAATTAATACTTTTGTTCAGCAAGGATGCATTAATTTGATCAACAATGAAAGTAAAGACATGTATAATGTTACAAAAGATTTCTATTTCAAATAAATGCTGTTCTTATGAACTTTCTATGCATCAAAGAATCCTGAAAATATCACAGTTTCCACAAAAAAATATAAATATATAAAATATATATATTTAGTTAATACTGTTAATTTAGCAAGGACACATGATATTTATCAAAAAATGACAGTAAAGACATTTAGTGAACTATATGTTTTCTCCTGAAGCTTTGTTATTAGGTTTCTTGCACCAAAAACAGTCAAAATTAAATTTTACATGACAATTTTCACCTTTCGTTTGACCCTTAACTGAATATTTTTCTACCATGCTTTTAATGGTACAAAAAAAGTATTGTAGTTTCAAATAATATGAAGCCGCACGAATGTTTACTGCATTGATGATAATAAGAAATTATTATTGAGCAGCAAATCAGCATATTAGAATTTCTGAAGGATCATGTGACACTGAAGACTTAATTAATGGCTGCTGTAAATTCAGCTTTGACATTCAGCTTTACATTTTAAAAACAGTTCTTTTTAATTGTAATATTTCACAATATTACTGTTTTTACTGTATTTTTGATTAAATAAATGTAGCTTTGGTGAGCGTAAAAGAGACTTCTTTCAACAACATTTTTTTTTTAAATCCCGAAACTTTTGAAATGTAGTGAACAATTAGTCAACCAGGCAAAAAGGTTAATTATTTGGAATTAGTAAAGACAATAACTGCTCCTAATTTTACTTGTATCTTTTGCAAAAGTTTGCAAAAGAGGCATCATGAGATATTATGAGACACGTATATATACATGCCTTGCTAATTTTTTATATTGTCTCTGTGTCTAGAATGTCAGGTCCTCAAGTCGTCCTATTCTCCTCATTCTGCTCCCCCTGTGAGATACTCTGGTAGTAAAAGTCCAGGACCCACCCGCCGCAGCAAATCCCCTGGATCTGGTGAGGATACACTGCACCACCACTAGTGTCATGCAACATGGACACAAACAACACAATCCTGTTACCACATAAATCTTTGTTTAAAAAATAAAACATTCCTTAACAACTCTGCCATGCAAAGGCAAAAGACCGTAACTTCGATTTTTGTCGAAAATGAGTTATTGATATTTTTGGGACATTCAAAACATCCGTTCTCATGTGCATAAGTATCTTGAGTCAATTTCGTTGTTTTTCTGAGAAAATAATGGGTCATCTCAACCGTAACTTCGAAAAGCCCCGGAGAAACCAAGGCAGAACACCGTATAACACCAGTTACGGCTCTTTCACTTTGTTTGGAACGCTCAAATTGAGTTACGGCGTTCTGCCTTTGTTTAGCCATGCGTCAAAATGAAGTTAAAATGAAGTTCACATCAATCCACAAGTCGTTCTTTTAGTTTAGGCTATTTAATACAAGTCAATATAAAAGCAATTATGCTATGTCTAGCATTATTTTACATTAATGAGCATAGCAAATAAACTGGTATCAACGGTACTCACATGTTTAACTTTTAGTCTGCTTGTTACGGTCAAAAAAATAAAAAAATAATACAGTCACATTACTATATGCAATAGCCTATATG